TTCAGGAAAAGCTTGATCTCTGTAATTACATAGAATTTAGTCTATTTTTGTTATTCTTTCAATTTATAATGTAGTCATTGTGTGTGTTAATTTCCTTGTTCTTCTTACTTCACTTTGCAGCAGTTGAAATAAGTCTTCCCATGTTTCTCTGAATTTTTTATATTTATTTTTTCTTATAATGTAGTAATATTGTATTGTATTCACCTACCATAATTTGTTTATCCATCCCTCATTGATTAGCATTTACTTTATTTCTAGTTCTTGCTATAAAAAAAACACAACAAAGCACGTTTTGCTATAAATATTTTGGAAACTTTCTTTCTATGATTCCCTTGGGATCCCAATGAGATTTTTGAGTCAAAGGATATGGACAACTTAGCCACTTTTTAGATGAATTTAAATTGTTTTCCAGAATGTTGAACCAATTCCAAGAGTGCATTCATATACCTATCTTTAACAGCACCTCCAAAATTGCCTATTCCCATGTTTTGTTATTTTTGATGATTTGTTAAGCATGAAACAAGATTGCTTTGACTTGTATTTCAATTATTATTTTTATTATAAGTAATCTCTCCTATTGTGTTTCATAGTTTGTTGCTCTTTGGATAACTATGTGTTTATATCATTTGCCCACTTATTTATTGAGGAATAGTCTTTAGTCTTGTATATTTATGTTAGTTTCCTAAATATCTTGAATATCAGACCAATAGCTTGATGTCGGATCTGCCTGCCTTAAGTGTCTCCCCACTCCAATCCATCTTCCATTCAACCACTAAAGTGATTTTCCTAAAACACAGATCTGACCATGTCCCTTCCCTCTTCCATAAACTCCAATGGCTTCCTATGACTTCCAGGATCAAATGTAAAATGCTCTGTTTGGCATTTAAAGCCTATCATAACCTAGTCCCCTCTTACCTTTCCAATTTTCTTACAACATACTCCATAACATGTATTCTTCGATCCAGTGACACTGGCTTCCTGGCTGTTCCACAAATAAGACATTTCACGTCTTAACCCTGGACATTTTATCTGGAACATTATACCTCTTTCACTCTTACTACTGACCTTTCCAGCTTCCTTTAAGTCTAAATTAAAATCTCACCTTCTACAGGAAACCTTCTCCAACCCCACTTAATTCTAATGCCTTCTCTCAGTTAAGTATTTCCTATTTATCCTGTATATAGCTTGCTTTGTATATATTTGTTTACATATTGTCTCCCCAATTAGATTGTAAAATTCTTGAGGGCAGTGCCTCTTTTTGTGTTCCCAGCACTTTGTACAGTGCCTGTTATATAGTAAATAGTTAATAAATATTTCTGATTATTAGAGATATTTGATGCCAATTTTTATTTTTCCCTCAAGTGACAGCTTCCTTTCTCATCCTAGTTGTGTTGATTTGGGTAGCAAAAAAAAAAAAAGGTTTTCAATTTCATTTAATAGAAATGACCTATTTTTTTTCCTTTTGTTATCATGTCTCTCTCTTTTTTTGATCAAAAACTGTTCCCATTAACCAAGTGTTTCCAATTTTTGGTCCCTATACTTCCTTCCTCATACCCCCTATTCAGTATCAAATGAAATATATTCTAGAATTTAAAATGCACAGACAAATAAGAAATAAGTAAGATAAAGAAGATTAATAAAATTTCATAAAGTAAACTTTTTTGTATAAAGTGACTTTTAAGTAACATAAAGCTGCCAAAGGCATAGCAGAACACAGTCAAATAATATTCTATATCTGCCCTGGGGTACACTACCACAATTCCTACCCTCTTGGGAACCCCTCCCCTGCTCGTAGATATGCTTGCTTTTATTCTTTTCTGATATATGTATACACACACACACACACACACACACACACACACACACACGTACGTACGTATAGTTTAATGCTGTGACTTTTAATATTCAGGTTGCATAGGCAGGAATCACATTTGGACTGTTTTCCTTCTTTACCTCATATCCTATATGAGGAAGTAATAATGGTACTTAACAAGATAAAGTCAGGAAGATCAGCTGGATCCAAACAAAGCTATATGCAAGAAAAAAAATCCATGCTGGAAATGATATACCTTTAATGGTACTTAGAGTTTAATTTCCAGAATATATTTAAGAGAGGGAAATTTTGAAGAGTCAAATAAAAAATGGTGCTCCCTAGCACTTCCCCCAACACAATAGACAACCATGAAGACAACAAGTTTCTGATTTATATTCTGATTTGGCCATCTCCATGAACTCTGTAGTAAAATGGTCTGGGCATGCATTCAAAATATATTTAATGGAAACATCAGGACCTGGGTTGGAATGCCACCTATGGAGCTTACTACCCATGTAATTTGGGCAAATCACCGAACAGCCTTATGCCTCAGTTTCCTTATCTGTAAAATGAGAGACTTGGATTAGATGGTCCCTTCAAGTAGTCCTTATCAGGTTTTTAAAAGTATGCTGGCAACTAAGCAATGAAGTAGATGGAAAGCACTAGCATGGAGTCAGGAAGGCCAGAGTTCAGATCCTGCCTCAAATACTTACTAGTTTTGTGACCCTGGGTAAATCACTAAATCTCTCTCAGTTCAGTTTTTCCATCTGTAAAATGAGCACCAGGGACATGTGAGTTAGTTATCATTCTGTTTTCTGAGCAAAATTCAACCTTAAAGACCTAGAGCCATCTTGGTGGTATGTTTAATAGAGTATTGGGCCTGGAGTCAGGAAGACCTAAGTTCAAATCTAGCCTTTGACACTTACTAGCTGTATAATCCTGGACAAGAGATTTAACCTCTGTCTGCCTCAGTTTCCTCAACAGTAAAATGGGGATAATAATAGAACCTACCTCCCTGGATTGTTGGGAAGATCAAATGAGATATAGGTAAAGTACTTAGTACAGTGCCTGACACATAGTAGGTGCTTAATACATGCATCAATCCTTACTTTCTTCTTTCTCCATACATCAGTATCTCAGGAGGCTCAGTGAGGAACAGGACTATGTAACTTTGAATATGTGAATTGGGCAAGTGACTTAACTTCCCTGGGATGCAGTTCCTTCATCTGTAAAAATTCAGGGATTGGATTACATAGGTTCTGAGCTCCCATCCAGCTCTGGACCTAACCCTACGAAGAGTCATACTTTTTCAAACAACTCTGTGCTGTGGACTAATTCTTTTCAGTCATTTTACTGACTAAGAAGTATAGAGAATAGTTAAAATGAAGAGTAGAGGATAAAAATACCTCTTCTGTTGACCTGGCTCACAGGGATGTGATAAAAAAAAGGGATAATGCATACGAATTCCCTATAAAGAGCTACAAATAATATGAACACAGTGTGTCGCAAAAGTAAATGGAATAAAACAAGCATTTCCATAACATAATACAATAAAAAGGATGATTGCATATGAAAGTGCAAATCTACTGTGCACCACTTGATATTCCTTTCAAATATACAACAAAGTTATCATAGAGAAAAACTGCTCTAAGACTTTGGGGACACCGAGTTTGTGAGCCTATATACAAATATTGGGTACCACTTTGCATAGTATTTATTGTTTTATTTTGGTGGGGGGGGTTACTGGATCTCCCTATCTCAGTCAAGATGGATGTACAGAGACCACTCATGGGTTCATTCCAAATACTGATTAGCATGGAAGCTTCAACCTGTTCTGTTTTTCCAACTAAGGCTGGCTTACCCTCCTTAGGCAATTTGGTGGTCCTCACCTGCTATTGTGCAGAACACAATGTCACCTCCTGAATGACTTTAGGCCTATTGTAGCTCAAAACTCCAGAACTTAAGCTGTCCACCAATCTCCATATCTCTAGCAAAAGGGACCGTAAATGTGTACTAGAATGTCTGGAGATCCTTTTTGGTTTAAAAACATCCTTCTGAAGGATAAAAATATAGCCTAAGGGCTTTCTACATAAAAAAAAACACAATATGTGTACATCAAAATCATGGGAGCTTCTGTGAGAGACATGAATATGATGATCATTTTGTTTAATGATCTGTTGTATATTGAGATAAAGTGGAAACAGGAAATAAATGTTTTCCAAAAGTGTTAGCCACTATATTCAAAGAAGTCCTAAGTAATATCCAAATGAAAGTAAGATGCCTTACTGATAGCAAGGTTGACCAAGTGTTCCCCTTTGCCTCCTTGTTCCTCTTTATATGGTATAAGTTGTAGCAAACCATAAAATATCACAGAAGCTTTTAGGTGAATTCAAGATAAGCATTTCTTTTTTTTTTCTTTTTTCTTTTTTCTTTTTTCTTTTCAATATGGCATGCATAAGTCGTCTGTGCACAGGGGCCATACTAATCTATGTACCATTCCAATTTTAGTATATGTTCTGCTGAAGTGAGCACAAGAAAAGCATTTAGTAAGGACCTACCATGTACACCACTGTGCTAGGTGGTAGGGAGAGCATAGGGAATTCTCTAGTAAGGAAATTCCCTCTACTAATGCAGGTTGGCACCTTCTCTGCCACTAATAGTCTTAAAGAACTTCCTGGACCTGGAGCACTTGAGGTTGAAGTAACTTACGCACAAACAACCACTACATGTCATAGGTAGGACTTGAACCCAAGTCTTCCTGATGCTAAGTCAAAATGTAACTATTACACCTCTGGTGGGAATATGTAATAGAGAGAGAGTTACACCTGGAGTCAAGAAAACCTGAATTCAAATCTAGCCTCAGGCACTTATTAGCTGTGTGACACTGGGCAAGTCACTTTACCTCTGTCTACTTCAAATCCTTCATCTACAAAATGGTGACAATAATAGCATATACCTCCAAGAGGTGCTGTGTGGACCAAATGAGATAGTATTTGAAAGGCACTTTATTATACAGAGCTATAAAATGCTATCATTATTGTTCATTATTATTACAAAGATAAAATAAGAATGCACACAGATATGAAAATTTGTCTAGTCATTCATGCAAGGTATTTCAGCACTTCATATTTCTATGGCTCATGGATGTCATCTATATAGAGATCATCTTCCATGCCAATTACAACCCTTCATGCCTTCTACTCTTTTGTGGCTCTTACCATTAATATTCTTCAGGGAGTAGAGGGAGTCCCAATATATCAGGGGCCTTCTTCCATATTTCTTCACATTGTATGGATACCAAGACTGGAGGAAGGTAGTTTATAACTTTTACTCTATGACTGGCCTGTTCCTCTATGACAGCCAATCATATAGTTTGCTTTTGGTGCCTTTGATCCTAGGTTTCCTGTGGGCAATAGCCCACTCCTGCCCACTGTGCCCATCTCCATTGCTCTTTGAGAGATCTACCTAGAAGCAAAAATTTAGACCTGTAATTAAACTAGAATTTAAGGTCTCAAAACCATAGTCAAGCTAGAGGCTAAGAAATTATGGTCATAGATTAGATTAAGCTTCATTGCTTACATGCTTGCAAGATGTTTTTTTTTTAAGATAAACAAAAACCAAAAGCTGTTTGTTCTGAGAATGCAACAAGAAGGAATCAAAGCTGTTTAGAAGTTTTGCAATGATTAAAATCTAACATCTCAGGATGCTTAAGATTGTACAAGATGCTATCTTGTTTATACTACAATAGGGTCTTTCAGCTTACTTCCTTGATGTAAACAATTCTGTCCTGACTTGCAATGTTTTACATGTAGATGCTAAATTGGAAACCTACATTACTCTTGAGAATGCATAAAAGCTACTAAACCATGACTGTTACTCAAAGCTTGCTCTCTCTCTCTCTCTCTCTCTCTCTCTCTCTCTCTCTCTTTCTCTCTCTCTTTTTCTCTCCCTCTCTCTCCCTCTCTATCTCTCTCTGAATGGCATTATTAAGTTGATTTGGGAGATGACTGTCCTTGCAATTGTTGATTTACATAATAAACCTTTTGTTCTAATAGATCCTAACATAAACACAATGCAGAAGCTTTTTTCCATCCTTCAACACCTTGGACTTTAATTCTTTGGATATCATGGGCTCTAAAAAGTATAGGCATATAGCAATATCAGAATAATATTGTTACTAAAAAAGATGGGTCTTGGTTTCCAGGGAAAACTTAGAATGATGAAAAAGTGTATAGAAATTCCCTAAAGGCAATCCAGTCCTGTTTTCTACACCTATATAAAACTGAGTCTGGGTCATCATCCACCTGCTATTTCTTTCTAAGATATATTATTATACTGATGGCCCATTTCAATGAAATATCTGTCCAACTATGTATATCATACTCTGGGCAATAACAATTCTTCATCTACTTGGATTTTCTTATGTTTCTAGTTAGGCAAAATTCTTTGAGGCATTATATTTCTCACACAGAAGGCTCTGCATTTCTGAACCGCGATGAAATCTTCATATATTGTCAGTAAAAATGAATAGTTGAAGGACTCCAAATATTTAGAGAACTTCTTTGTCCTGACATCCTCCACAGCAATAGAAAACATCTTTGGCAAATCTGTGCCTCCCTAGTTAATGCAAACCAAATATTAATAATCAGTCATAAGACATATTGGTGCATATGTAAGAGAAGTACCTTGTTAGAGGAGAACCTTTAAGTAAGTATCATACTCTACCAAAACAAATATTCATTTAGAGTTGATCAACAACAAGCATAATGAGATTTTATATTCTCTGAACCTTTCATTCAATGATTTGACAATAAAGATGTGCTCTGCTGTAGAATACCCTTTGAACATTCCTTCTTGTTTCATTCTCATACATTTATCATTCATTCTCTTGATATATGTATAGATTATTTTTATAAAAACTTTAGTCATGTAGAAATAGATGTATTTCCTCAATCTACTATTTTTAATAATAAAAAGGCCTATAATTTTCCAAGTATTTGGAATTCTTCCCCTCTTTCAGATATATCCCCCAATACCCTCAAAACTATAGCACTTCCAGCACATAACTCATCTATATTTAATTGGTTTAGTTTTGTCAGAGCTGTAACTAGAAATTTTGGAAGCTGGGACAAGAGATAGGAAAAGTTTCCCCAGTCAGGGTGGAAAGAATCCCAAGGATGCTAGCAGGTATAAGCACAAGGGTTGACCTTTCTGGATAAGCTCCCAATTCAATTGATCAGATCCAGTAAAATTTATTAAGTGATACAAAAACAAAATGAAAAACAATACCTGTGCTCAAGAAACTTATGTTCTAGGTCAAGAAGTTTAGGTGGTGATTATTGAGTTTGACTTTGAACATATTGAGTTTGAGATGTCCACGGTATATTTAGTTGGAGATGTCCAATAACCAGTTGGTAATGCTGGATAGGAGTTCAAGACAGAGATTAGATCTGGACATAGAAATCTGAGAATCATCTGCAAAAAAGGTTGTAATGAAACCAGAGAGATGATGAGACCTTTGAGAGATGGTTCAGAGAGAGAGAGAGAGAGAGAAGAGTTGCCAGAACAAAGCCTTGAAGGTAGGGTTGGGATGACAGTTGGGAGGCATGACATAATTGATAATACAGCAAGGAAGACTAAGAAAGAATGGTTAGACAACCAGAAGACAGCATTTTCACAAAATCTGGGGAAGGAGGGAGTATTCAGAAGGAAGGTGTAGCCAAATATAGGTTATACATGTCCAGTTATGCAAAACACTTCCATAGTAGACATGTGTATTAATATGATTTAGTGAGGTTCGGATTCGCTCCTATAAATGACACTCTCCAATGCACCAGAAAATAATAAGAAATAGATAATTTATTTAGAAGAAGTAAAGCACAGATAGTTTGAATTTGCATAGAAAGCATATAACAATAAGAACAATCAATAATATAGCACCGATCAAGAGAGTCGGTAATGGAAGAGAATACATCACCAATTCAAGGGAACCTCCAAAGTCAATCAACGGCTGGGAGCCCCGTTACAGCCCGTACAAACTTGAATTGTGTAAAGATTTTCCCGGGCGAAGCGTCCTTCCCGCGGGTGAGGCTCAGCGGGCTTACAGGACGCAGTGTTTTTATATTGTTCTAAACAAAGAAGGCTTGGGGCCAAGAAGCCCTTTTCGATGCATGCGCTATTCATGGTTTGTTCAATACACATCTGACCTTAGCCACGCTCCCATCCGCCTGAGGCTTGGTATTTTGTTTTTTAATAACATCACGTCTCACAAGGAGAGGAGCCAACCCTCCATGTCAACGTGACCTAGGAATGGCTAGTTCCTGGAATGCTAGGCCAAGAACACTCAGGAGATATGGAACGGTCATGACCGAGATTTGAACTGAACCTATTTATTTGAGTGATCTTATTAATTTAAAGGGGAATTTCCAATTTCCATTTCAACATGTTGTGAAAAAATAACTCTATTTCCCTTAATCATATCCTGCCGTCCCATTTATTCTATTCTTTCTTTTGACCCTGTCCCTTCTCAGAATTATTTGCTTCTGATTACCCCCTTTCTCAATCTGCCCTCCTTTCAATTAACCCCCTGCTCTCTTGTCCCCTTCTCCCCCTATTTTCCTTTAGGGTAAGACAGATTTCCAAACCCAATTGAATGTGTATGTTATTCCCTCCTTAAGCCAAGTCCTTTGAGAATAAGATTCACTCATTCCCTCTCACCTTCCCCATTTCCCCTCCACTGTAAGAGCCTTTTCTGGTTGTGTGTGTGTGTGTGTGTGTGTGTGTGTGTGTGTGTGTGTGTGAGTGAGATAATTTACTCCATTCTACCTCTCCTTTTCTTCTTCTTGGTGTATAATCCTTTCATCCCTTAATTTTATTCTCCAGATATGACCCCTTAATTTTCAACTTACCTTGTGCCCTCTATCTATCTATCTATCTATCTATCTATCTATCTATCTACCCACATACATACATATTTTTTTTTCCCTCCAACTACCCTAATACTGACAAAGGTCTCATGAGTTGTAAATATCATCTTTCCATGCAGGAACGTAAACAGTTCAACCTTAATAAGTCTCTTATGATTTCTCTTTCCTGTTTGCCTCTTCATGTTCCACTTGAGTCTTGTATTTGAAAGTCAAATTTTCTATTCAGCTCTGGTCTTTTCATCAAGAATGCTTCAGAGTCCTCTGTTTCACTGAATTACCATTTTTTCCCCTGAAGGATTACACTCAGTTTTGCTGGGGAGGTGATTCTTGGTTGTAATCCTATCTCCTTTGCCCTCTGGAATATTATATTCCATGCCCTGTGGTCCTTTAATGTAGAAGCTGCTAAATCTTGTGTTATCCCAATTGTGTTTCCACAATACTTGTATTGTTTCTTTCTGGTTGCTTGTAATATTTTCTCCTTGACCTGGGAACTCTGGAATTTGGCTACAATATTCCTAGGAGTTTTCCTTTGGGGAGAGATCAGTGGATTCTTTCAATTTCTATTTTGCCCTCTGGTTCTAAAATATCGGGGCAGTTTTCCTTGATAATTTCTTCAAAGATGATGTCTAGGCTCTTCTTTTTGATCATGCCTTTCAGATAGTCCAATAATTTTTAAATTCTCTCTCTTGGATCTATTTTCCAGGTCAGTTGTTTTTCCAATGAGATATTTCACATTGTCTTCTATTTTTTCATTCTTTTGGGTTTGTTTTACAGTGCCTTGATTTCTTATAAAGTCACTAGCTTCCATTTGCTCTATTTAATTTTTAAGGAAGTATTTTCTTCAGTAATCTTTTGTACTTCCTTTTCAATTTGGCCAATTTTGCTTTTTAAAGCATTCTTCTCCTCATTGGCTGTTTGGACCTCTTTTGCCATTTGGGTTAGGCTATTTTTTAAGGTGTTATTTTCTTCAGTATTTTTTTGGGTCTCCTTTAGCAAGCTGTTGATTTGTTTTTCATGATTTTCTTGCATCACTCTCATTTCTCTTCCCAGTTTTTCCTCTACTTCTCTTACTTGCTTCTCAAAATCCCTTTTGAGCTCTTCCAAGGCCTGGGACTGATTTATATTTTTCTTGGTGTCTTTGGATGTAGGAGCTTTGACTTTGTTGTCTTCTTCTGGTTGTATATTTTGATCTTGTTCACCAAAATAAGATAATATAGTCTGACTTTTTTTGTGCTGCTTGCTCATGATCCCAGCCAATTCCTTGAGTTTTAAACTCTTTGTTAAGGTAAGAGTCTGCTTCCAATGTGGAGAATGTACTGTCCTAAGCTTCAGGGGTTTGTACAGCTGTTTTCAGAGATACTTGTAGGGACTTGTAAATTTTCAGTTCTTCCAAGGTGGTATGATAAGGGGAGAGGTGTTTACTCCTTTCCTGGCCTGTGCTCTGGTGTATTAGTGACCACAAGCACTCCTTTCTGTCCTGGAACTGTGATGAGGGTTTCCTTTTCACAGCCACTACAAGCTCCACCAAGCCAGGGCTCCTTCTCATCCCAGGACTGCCACCCTGAAGTGTGACCCAGATCCAAGCACAGGAAAATCAAGAGATTCCTGCCTCAGCACTGGCAAAGAGATCCCTGCAATCTCTCTGATCAGCCGCTGGATTCCCCCTCAGGTTGTGGGCCAGAAGCTCAGGAGGCCCCTGCCCCCCCAGGGCCTCACTCTTGGGGGAACTGGACTGAGACCCTGTTCTCCTCTCTCAGCACCGCAGAAACAGACTTTTCCCATTGACCTTCTAAGTTGCCTTTGGCCTTCATAGGTTGAGAACTCTGGAATCCACCACAGCTGCCTGCATTTCAGTCCTGTAAGGCCTGTTCCAGGTTCGCTGTGGCCTGTGTGCCCATGCCACACTGTGCTCTGCTCCCAGCCTGGTGAAATATACCTTTCTGATCAATCATCCAGGTTGTCTTGGGCTGGAAATTTGTTTCACTTTGTCTTTTTGTGGGTTCTGCTGCTGTAGAATTTGTTTTGAGCCATTTTTTATAGGTATTTGAAGGTGTTTGGGGGAGAGCTCAAGCAAGTCACTGCTTTCACTCCACTATCTTGGCTCTGTCCCCCACAAAATCTTTTCAATTTAATGTAATCAAAGTTATCCATTCTGCTTTTTGTAATGTTCTCTATCTCCTGTTTGGTCATGAATTCTTTTGTTCCCCATAAATCTGAGAGGTAAATTATTTCTTGCTCTTCCAGTTTGCTTATAGTATCAGCCTTTATGTCCATATTTTGACTTTATTTTGTACATGGTGTGAGATTTTTATCTCTTTGAATGCCTAGTTTCTTCCATACTCTTTTCCAGTTTTACCAGCAGTTTTTTTTTCAAAGAATGGGTTTTTATCCCAGAAGCTGGGGTCTTTGGGTTTGTCAAATAATAGATTACTATAGTAATTGACTACAGGGTCTTGCATACTTAACTTATTCCACTGATCCACCACTCTATTTCTTAGCCAGTACCAAGCAGTTTTGATGATTGCTGCTTTATATTACAATTTAAGATCTGAAATGGCTAGGCCACCTTCCTTTTCATTTCTTTTCATTAGTTCCCTTGATATTCTAGACCTTTTGTTCTTCCAAATGAATCTTGTTATTATTTTTTCTAACTTTATAAAATAATTTTTGGTAGTTAGATTGGTATGACACTAAATAAGTAGATTGGCTTAGGTAGAATTGTCATTTTTATTACATTAGCTCAGCCTACCCAGGATGTGTTTCCAATTATTTAGATCCGACTTTATTTGTGTGAAAAGTGTTTTGTAATTGTGTTCATTTAGTTCCTGGATTTATTTCAGGAGTTAGACTCCTAAATATTTTATAATGTCTACAATAAGTTTAAATGGAATTTCTCTTTCTATCTCTTGGTGTTGGGCTTTGTTGGTAATTGGAAAAACTAGACTGCCAAAGGCTGAGGCATGAGAGGTAAGAGAAAAAGTGAAGGCAATGAATTGAGCCACAATTTCTGGAGTTTGTCTGTGACACAACACATAGTTTTTCATCTTATCTAAATATTCTTTGTAATGATGTGCTGCTTAAGCCATGCCTAATGGATGGAGGATGGAACTGGGGAGGTCTGACTCCTCTCCTATCTCCTATTCCCCAAGTCCAATCAGTTGTCAAATTCCATTGAGCCTATTTTTGCTTCTCTTGCAATTATCCCCTTATTTCAACTTCCACTGTTGATCACCTTGATTCAGGCCACCATTAGTCTCCATACCTCTAGTTTCTCCCTTTCCAATATATCCTTCACACTGCATTGATCTGCTGTCACTCTCCCCTTCAAATAATCTTCAGTGATTTCCTTAAAAGAAACAACTAAATATAACAAACCCTTCAGCCAGTCACCAAAGTCCTACACAACCTCAAACAACCTACCCTTCCATCTAGTACTCCCCTTCATGCATTTGACTTTCAATTCAATTCAACATTGATTAAATGTCTGTCACATATAAGGCACTGTGTTAAAAGCTGGGGATGCAAAACAAAAAATGAAAGATGACACTCATCTGTTCTGAGCACAGCTTAGTGTGGGCCACTCTAGTGACTGAGGTTCAGGATTAGAATATAATGAAATGCTCATGGATCACAAAATGCAATAACAATACCTTTACTTTGAATGAACTGAAAACATTCCTTTTGTGCTTAGCATGTGCCAAGCACTTCACTAAGCACTAGAAATACAAATAAAAAATAAAAAACGGTCCCTGCCATCAAAGAACTTGCATTCTGATTGGGAGAACAACGCACATTGGGGAGTGGTAGCTAGGATGGGGCACTTTGGTCGTAAAAGTTACAGGGATGGTGAGTGGGCAGTATGAGAGTAGATTGACACACATCCCTTCCAGAAACAATGGCAGAGTTGATTTGATCATGGTTCTAGAATCGATATATGGGTTTGGGAGGAAAGATTATTTCTGTGTGTTTTTTTTTAATCATATATTTTTTACCCATCTTTGCTTTTGTTTTGTTTGTATTCTGAGATGCAACAAAATGGATAGTACTGAATATATTTCCAGAGAAATAAAATAATTAGAGAAAT